ACTTGATTGGCTTTTGCCAGCTTCGGATACCTATGACACTCGGTAGAGCTTATGTTGTAATTCGATATTGTGGTCAACGACTGACAGTGGTAGTTTTATTAAACAGCTGCATATTTCTGTACACGCACACATACGCATTGTGAAGCTCATTGATCAGTGTTCACTGTGATTATCTAACTTGTTTTATTGATCGTTTCAATTTCACCGCAGTGCGGTGAAGGATTATCCGATACTAATGAAAGGGATATCAGCGGGTTTGAAGTCCGATGTACTAGGGCATATTATTCTCCAAGATGTCTGGAATCAGTTATTCTCCCCTGTTAAATAGTCATTTATTCAGGACCATAAATCTTTCTGAATACGAACGCGAGGGGTGAAAGGCAAGTTTTCCAAGTGAAGCCAGCGAGAATCTGATGGGCTCATATTTCACTCACAGTCCAGTCCGCCTTCTGAGTGTTCCGGCCAGAATATCCAGAAAATAAAGAGGGATGTGAAGTCAAACTAAAAGGTTAGAAGGGTGCTAAGAACTTTGCTCAGGATCAACAAAACCAAACAAGAAAGGTAGGAGAGGAAGATGGGGAAACTTACCGCGTAGCGCTATTCAGAACAAAGCTAGAAGGTACTTATGTTGTTACAGAAGAACTCAGTGAATAAAGAAAACAGTTAGCATCTCTTATTTTCCAAAAGTTTTACTTTTTGCTCATATTCAATGTACTTTTTGATCATCATCATATATATCTGTTTCAAACGGGAAATTCATGTGTATAGCAAATGGAGCATGAACTGAAAAGCTGATAAGCCCTGGACAGCTGTTTCGATCTGGTTGATTTTCATTTGCAGTGCGAATCTATCGACCCAGCTCGGGATCGAACCCTGGGGCCTCACAGGCAGAACGAAACCATGCTACCCACTAGGCCACAGGGCATACGATCAGACCGTTTTTCATTTTCCATTAACACGGTATAGCACAAGCCATCTTTGCGAGCTTGTTGCGCGCCTCGCACACCTCAGCCCTATCCTCCATGGTTACGACTCGGTTGTAAATCAGGTCGAAACAGCTGTCCAGTGCTTCCTAGCTTTTAAGTTCACTCCTCGTTGGCTATATACATGACGAATTTTCCCTTTGAAATTGAATCGAATCCTCCATTACTCACGTGAGATTCATGTATGTATTCAAATAACACGAAATTGATGAATTCATGATGTATGTTAAGCCTGTTTGACCGGGATATGTGTGAGCAAATACAGTGTGTGGGTAATGAGTCGTAAATGAATAATATGCTCCAATTTGAACACACCATGTAACGGATCATCATGACCCGTGAAAGATTATTCCAACGAGGGATTGCTGTGTGGGTGAAGGAACTGACGGACGCGAGTATGTTGCCGAGGTTCAGGGAAACTTTTACTTTGTTCACAAAGAGAAGGTTGATAACGGTTAGTCATTGTATAAATAAAATTAGGAGAGAGAGGCAGATTTTATATTGGACGTGCGACAGACATCACAGTCTTTGTGGTGGCTTGCTGACTTCCCTAGTCAGGATGACTTCAACTCTCTGAGCTGTTGTTTGATCTGTTGGTGAACAGCCCCTTTAGATTATCATTCTTTTTATCACATGCGTCCTTCATTTTCAAGCTACTTCACTACGTAGAGTATATATCTTAATTGCTTATGCGGCAGTCGTTAGTTTGACTAGTTCGCCCCTGGTAACTACTTTGAGCTCTTTTTTTATTACACACCTAGGTGTGATGAACAGCAGACGGGGTAAACCCCATAGTCACGAGGACCTGCTGTTCAGTGGTTGAAATCGACAACCTAAGCCCCGGAACTTGGAGTGGCGAACCACATAAGGCCCCGATAGGTTAGGCGTGGTATTGAACCGGACGACAGCAGAGCTGCCTACCACCAAAGTCGGGTGGCGGTGGCGGGGCTCGAACCTCGGACCATAGGGTCCAAAGCACGCCGTTGACAGCGACTAAACCACTGCGCTACCACCGCCAAGAACTATGATCACGACAGTTCGATCGATGTATGTCACCGGACAGGGATCTTGTCTGCTCGTGCTTGAGCAAGAGAAGAGGAGTCACTGACCGTATCGATGCAGTTCCCTTGAAAGTAAGTTCGTGGATGGTTTTCTTATCAAATCTCTAAGAAATCATATGAGTTCAGTTCAGCTTGTACAACCACTAACCATGCATTTTCGTGCTCTGGTTTTGGTTGCTGTCTTTTAGCTACCCATGCGGATCGATGACTCATTCCAGTGGGCGACTGTAGTTACCTAAAGCTCAGCATTGCTCCCCCGGTTGCTCCATCAGATCCGTGCTGTGCTGCGTGGGCAGTGGTCTTTAAACACCGACAACCTATTTTTTATTGTTTTCTTAATAACCAAGTTTCTGCGCGGTATAGCAGTACTGACCGAACTGCCGCAACGTATACTCGACCCTTCGTAGATAGCCGGATATCGCAACAGCACCACCGATACCTCAAGTTTTCACATGCCAATCGCGCCTTCTATATGCGAACTGACTCTCCATCCGTGATGCGGCCCTCGGGTTAGACATATCTACCTGAAGAACAAAACTTGTCCACTTGGTCTATTACTTCAGTTAGAGTGAGGCTGGGTGCTGGACAAACCCATTCTTGTGGTGGCATTTTACCCTCCTTTTATCAATTACTGTGAATTATAAATTTTACCTCCTACAGTACTCTATGACTATAAATGTCGGGCTTACGGTGGGAGTGCTAGGGTAGAATATTCTGAAATAATGATAATTGTTATTATGCACAAAGTATATATATTACACTGGCTTGTAAACAAGCATGGTGCCAACGCCACAACAATAATAACAATGACAATAACACGGAGCAGTTGGGTTGAAATACAGAGAAAAGTGGGAAGAATTTGATTTACGACAAATGGGATAGACGCTATAATTGATAAGATACTGTAAGGGGGGAAGTTATGTGGTGGAATATTCAGGTGA